GTGGAGGTTATGAGGGAAGCGGGGGAGCATGCAGAAGAACAGAGGGCGGGGTGAGCCGCCATATACCCCAAGAGGGGGAGGATGTAGGAGGAGCCGTCGTCGTCGGAGTAGGAGGAGGAAGAGGAGGAGCAGGAGGAGGAGCAGGAGGAGGAGGAGGAGGAAGATAAGGAGGAGGAGATGGAGGACTGCGAGGACGAGGAGGACGAGAAGGAGGAAAAGGAAAAGGAGGAGGAGGAGGAGGAGGAGGAGGAGGGGGAGGGGGAGGAGGGAGGAGGAAGAAAAAAGGAGGAGGAGGAGGACAATGGCGAGCTTGGGGGCCTCTTGGGCCGTCTTTGGGGCCTCTTGGCGGTCCCGGGGGCCTCTTGCGTATCTCGGGGAGCCTCTTGTGGCCTCTTGGGGGTCTCTTGGGGGCCTCTTGGAGGCTTCTTGGGGGCCTCTTGGGGCCTCTTGGGGCCTCTTGGGGCGCTCTTGGGGCGCTCTTGGGAGCCTTCGAGGCGCTCTTGGGGCCATCTTGGATGAGATCTATCAAAAAAGGGGGGGTTGCTTATTAGCCTTGCCCCTCTAGAGTGCCTCGAGTCGCCTCTTGGGCCCCCCCAAGAGGCCAAAATCCTTCCAAAACCTAGGTAAAATCAATGTTTTGTGCTTTCTCGCGTTTTCGCTCTTGGAGCCGTCTTGGGCCGTCTTGGGAGCCTCTTGGGCCTCTTGGGGGTCTCTTGGGAGCCTTTTGGAGGCTTCTTGGGCGCCTCTTGGGGCCTCTTGGGGCGCTCTTGGGGCGCTCTTGGGGCGCTCTTGGGAGCCTTCGGGGCGCTCTTGGGGCCATCTTGGAGGAGATCGATCAAAGAAGAGGGGGTCCCCAATTAGCGTTGCCCCTCTAGAGTGCCTCGAGTCGCCTCTTGGGCCCCCCAAGAGGCCAAAATCCTTCCAAAACCTAGGTAAAATCATTGTTTGTTGCTTTCTCGCCTTTTCGCTCTTGGAGCCGTCTTGGGCCATCTTGAACTCTCTTGGGGCCTCTTGGGGGTCTCTTGGCAGCCTCTTAGAGGCTTCTTGGGGGCCTCTTGGGGTCTCTCGGAGCCCTCTTGGGGCGCTCTTGGGGCGCTCTTGGGAGCCTTCGGGGCGCTCTTGGGGCCATCTTGGAGGAGATCTATCAAAGAAGGGGGGAGCTCCAATTAGGGTTGCCCCTCTAGAGTGCCTCGAAGCGCCTCTTGGGCCCCCCCAAGAGGCCAAAATCCTTCCAAAACCTAGGTAGAATCAATGTTTTGTGCTTTCTCGCTTTTTCGCTCTTGGAGCCGTCTTGAGCCATCTTGGGCGCCCTGACACCTCGCGAGACGCCTCGTCCAGGTCAGTGGGGAGGGGTAAGGGGAGGGGTAAACCCCTCCCCGAAGGGAAAGAAGGGGGGTTGGCAGAGGAAACTCCCTAGACCACCTACGCCCTAAAGGGCTGGTGGGATTGACGTTGTGCCATGCTCTGCTGGTCTGGCTCCCCTCGGCCCCCTTCCTTCGGAATGAGCTCCTGGAGGGTCAAATCCTGACTTTGCCCCTGGTCCGAAACCCGGTCTAACTCGGTGTACTCCCGCTCAAGCTGGCGCAATCCGGCTCCAGCCCGCCTGATCCGCTGCCTAAGCTGGCGCAGCAGCCCCCCCGACAGGGGCTGAATCCTCCGCAGCCCTTCCCAGCAGCTGCCTCCCAGCTCTGTGGCTCTGCTCCCCTCGGCCCCCCTCCCCGCCCCCATCCGCCCCGATGCGGGGTGTGGGCCTCGGCTCGCACGCCCACGAGAGGCGCACCTCGGCTCCATGGTGCTGCTGCGCGCCCCCCCTCCTCCTCCTCCTCCTCCTCCTCCTCCTCCTCCTCCTCCTCCTCCTCCTCCTCCTCCTCCTCCTCCTCCTCCTCCCCCTCCTCCTCCTCCTCCTTCCTCCTCCTCCTCATACCTCCTCATCCCCCTCCTCCCCCTCATCCTCCTCCTCCGCCCCCTCCTCCTCCCCCCCGCGGGGTGCACCTCGGGGTGCTGCTCGCTGTTGCCCGACCCCCGCGGGATGCATGCTGTGCGCTCGGCACAGCTGCACGCGCGCGCGAACTGGGGGGGCGCACCTCGGCCCCGGGTGCTGCTGCGCGCCCCCCGGGGGCGCGCGCGCGCACTGCGGCCGCGAAGAAGCGCCGGCAGCCCTGCGCTGCTCAGCGCCGAGCTCCCTGCCGTGAGGCCTTCGGTCTCGCCCCGGCCCCCCCTCGATCCTCCTCGTCCTCTCTCCTCCTCCTCCTCCTCCTTCTCCTCCTCTTCCTCCTCCTCGAGCCTCTTCTCCTCCTCCTCCTCCTTCTCCTCCTCCTCCTCCTCGTCCTCGTCTTCGTCCTCCTCCTCCTCCTCCTCCTCCTCCTCCTCCTCCTCCTCCTCCTCCTCCTCCTCTAGAGAGAGAGAGAGAGGTGGGAGGAGCTGGTTGAGAGTCCGCTCGCGCGGCCTCTCCCGTGTGCTTCTCTCCTTCCGTCAAAGGCCGCATTTCCATCCGGGCGGCGTCACGTGCGACCTTCCCAGCCTGCCCTGCGGTCCTTCAGGCATGCCAGGGGCTGGGATCAATCGCTGCGGAGCGTTCTGGAACGCTCTGAGGAGGCCGCGGCGCCCGAAGCTGCGGGCACGATTTTTACCCATATCCGCTGCGTCGTAGAGTTTCGGGCTCCCTTCCTCCGATTCCAGAGGCGCTGTGGATGTGATAGAACAAGTTGTTTTTTATCCAGATCCACTGCGCCACGGCCTGTAGGCGCCCCTTCCCAGAAAGTCCAAGACGCAGTTGATATACGTATATATGTATATATATATATATGTATGTATGTATACATAAATGTATACATGCATATATGTATATAAACATATATATATATATGTATCGTGCCCGCAGAAGCATCCTCCATCAGAACCGCCGATATCGGATGTTCCTGGTTGCTCAGGATCCGATTATGCCCCGACCCTGGCCTCGTTTTGGTCTTCGGCCTCGCGTCGTGGAGCAAAGCGTGTTGTGCTTGCGGTCACGATCCGATCATGTCCCGATGCTGGCGTCGTTTCAGTCTTCAACCTCCGGTCGTGGAGCAACATGTGTTGTGCTTGCGGCCACGATCTGAGTATACCCCGATCTTGGCTTCGCTTTAGTCTTTAGCCTCGGGTCGTTGAGCAAAGTGTGTTGTGCTTGCGGTCACGATCCGATTATGTCCCGATCCTGGCTTCGCTTTAGTCGTCAGCCTCTTGTCGTTGAGCAAAGTGTGCTGTGCTTGCGGGCACGGTCCGATTATGTTCTGATCCTAGCTTCGCTTTAGTCTTCAGCCTCGCGTCGTGGAGCAAAGTGTGCTGCGCTTGCGGTGGAAGGCAGAACGGGGGAAGGGGCGCAGAGGCATTCCCTCCCCCCCTTCACGCGGGATCCCACGTGCGCGCGCACCGTCTCTCTGCTTCCCGCGCCGTCCGCACGCGTTGCCGCGCGGGAGGGAGAAGGAGGAGTAGGAAGGAGGAGGAGGAGGAGGAGGAGGAGGAGGAGGAGGAGGAGGAGGATGAGGAGGAGGAGGAGGAAGGAGGCGAGGAGGAGGAGGAGGAGGAGGAGAAAGGAGGAGGACGAGGAGGAGGAGGAGGGAGGAGGAGGAGAGGAGGAGGAGGAGGAGAGGAGGAGGAGGAGGAGGAGGAGCGCGAGCAATCTGAGCAGGAGGCAGGGGTGGAGGAAGAGCTCGAGGAGGAGGAGGAGGAGGAGGAGGAGGGAGGAAGGAGGCGGGAGGAGGAGGAGGAGGAGGAGGAGGAGGAGGAGGAGGGGGAGGAGGAGCGCGAGCAATCTGAGCAGGAGGCAGGGGTGGAGGACGAGCTCGAGGAGGAGGAGGAGAAGGAGGGCGACTTCACAACGGCGTGGAGGGGTTGGGCGCGACGACTCCGAGGAGGAGCCTCTGAGGAGGAGGGGCAGGAGCCAGATGAGGAGAGTGATGACGATGATGATGCTGGTGATGCTGGTGATGATGATGATGATGATGATGATGATGATGATGATGATGATGATGATGATGATGGTGATGGTGATGGTGATGGTGATGGTGATGGTGATGGTGGTGGTGATGGTGATGATGATGCTGATGCTGATGCTGATGATGCTGCTGATGATAATAATGATGCTTATGATGATGACGATGATGCTGATGCTGATGCCGATGAAGTTGATGACGATGACGATGATGACGATGATGATGATGCCGATGATGACTATGGTGATGACGACGCTGGCGACGGCGACGACGATGACGATGATGTGGTTGTTGATGGTGATGATGACGCCGATGAGCATCATGCTGCTGCTGCCACTGCTGGTGATGATGAGGATGATGATGACGATGATGATGGCGGTGGTGGTGGTGGCGATGATGATGAGGACGCTGATGCCTGTGACGATGATAATGATGCTGGTGATGGTGATGATGATGATGACGGTGAACATTAACATGATAAAGAAGAACATGATGACGACGATGATGCTGATAACGATGATGAGGATGCTGATGCTGCTGATGATGTTGATGATGATGTTGATGTTGTTGATGATGATGTTGATGGTGAGTCTGAAGGGGGTGGAGATGACAATGGTGATGATGATGCTCATTATGCTGATGCTGCTGCCGATGATGATGATTGTGATGCTGATGAATATTATGATGATGATCCTCGCGCCTGCTGATGCGAATTCAAAGCGGCAATGTTGAGTGAGCCTTGTAATCAAATCGAAGGACGGTGAGGCCCCCAACTCTCAGTTCGAAGTGGATCAATGTTGTGTATGATTGCCTTTTCCACCGCCCAGTCCTCGCATCATCGTTGTTTACATGATCGTCCATGCGTAGCTTCGCTCAGAGGGTACCCTTATTGACCATGCGCCCGGATCGCGTGTTAGTGTAACTTGCCTGCGAACGTCACACACAATCAGTATTTGTGCAGACCTGCTTCGCCGCGGCGTCCCATACTCGCTGGGATGACAGTGAGAAGTGCGCCTCAGCCGCTAGGCGCATCCACACACTGTTGCTCCCCAAGCTCAGCGGTCGGGCTACGGTCTGGTACGACTTCGAGCTCGTCGAAGCCCTGACCGAAACAGCCAAGGCGGCTCGCCAGCTCAGGGACGAGCACGAAAGGAGGAGCTCTTGTCGATGAGAAGAGGGCGGGGAAGCCTTCAGTTGGATGTCCATCCCACGCCCACGCCATTGTGCCATGGTGATGCCGGTGAGGCGACAATGGCAAGAGCGGCCAATAATAAGGAGGGCGGGTCGCCAACGTACCGAGAGCGTGCCGCGGTCAAAAGGTCAGAGAGCATTGGAAACGCTGATGCTGTATTACCCGCGCACGAGTTCTCCCCAGCCAGCAGGCTGGTGCCGCTGGATCTCTGAACACCCTGTAGACACGCTAACGGCGATGTAGGTAACGGCGATGTAGGTTTCGGTATCGTGGGAACGCGTAGCTCGTGCTTGCCTACAATTCGCTGTGTCGTTCTCGTTCGATACATTCGCATACTGGAAATGTAGGAGGGTGTGGATCGTGATTTCCTACAAGTTGGTTCCCGACACCACCGTTCAGCAACATCGCCGTTAGCGTGGCCTTGGACACCTCCGAGCCAGGTCCGCGGCTCGCCCCCCCCGGACCTCCTGAGCCAGTGCAGCCCCGCCCCGGAATTGGATACGGATGCGTGCGCGCTCCCGCAGGGGCCTCTTCTCGGCGCATCCTCGTGGCATCGCTCGGACGTGTGCATTTTTCCTTCGGCGAGGGCATCGAGGAACATCCTTGACCATTTGGCGAAAAAACCACGCACGAAACCGAAAAAAACGCAAAAAATGGACGTCCGAGCGATGGCGAGTCCTCGCCCTCGGCGGAGAAATGCCGGCGGGAGTGATCGGCCACGCGCAGGAGGGGGGGTAGGGCAAGCCAGGTGTGCTCGCGTCATATCTGACGTCCTACCCCTCCCTCCCAACCTTACCATGGCGTAGATCTCCTCTCTATTCGCACAGTTGGATGCCGTGGCAGGGCATAGCATTACGTGGCATAGCATGGTGTTGACGATCAACGCGTGGCATAGCATGTTGTTGAAGATCAACGCGTAGCCTGACATAGCATGGCGTGGCGACACCCCAAAATTGTGTGGGGGGGGGTAGGGGGAGGGGTGGAGCTTTCTTAGGAGCACCCCTGCTTCTTGGACGGTGCGAGCTTTGTCTGAAGATGCAAGGCCGGCGCCTTCTGAGAAGCAGCCTCCCTCTAAGAGAGGCCCTCCCCCCTCCCCCTACCCCCCTTTGTGCACGCCGCCAAACTGAACGAGGGCGGCTCCGCCAGCGAAAGCCGGCGGAAGGCCAGCGAAAGGCGGCGGAGGTGGAAGGGGGATGCTCGGGTAGAGCCAGGCCCCCGGGTGAGAGGAGCCGGTTGGTAATTGGGCCCCGAAGCCCTCCGAACTGTCCAGAATCACCAAGCCAGGTCTGCCGTAGTTGGTGTTTCCTCGGGCGACGGCAGTTCAGGTTCGTGGAATGGGGCAGGGTGGCATCCCGTGGTGCACATCACTAAATCCAGGTCCCACTGTAAAGCAAGTCCCGCCCACGCCCGAGAGGCAGCAACACGTTTATTTTCGGGGTTTCTGGAGTCGCCCACGTTTCAGAACGCGACACGACAGTGACATTTTGCCAGCCTGCAGCATATCCTCGTCTCTGTGCTTGGCATCGCGTTGTCTCGACGCCGGTCTTGAGGATCCCTCAGATTCTGAGGGCGCATCCCTAAGATGGCCTTCGCCTTTGGGCTTGTCCATCTTGGGGATAGGGCTTGGCCCAAGAGTGCTCGGGCCACGTTCCTCGATGACGGCGCGAGGCGCCCGCCGCCCGCCGCCCGGGCCCACCGGTGCAGCCCGTCCTCGGCCCCATGGGGGAGTGGGCGGAGTGGGCGAGGAGAGGAGGCTTGGAGGAGGATGGAGGGGGCGACGGAGGGGAGGAGGAGGAGGAGGATAATCGGAGGTGGATAGACCTCCTACCCTGACACGTCGATTAGTGAATTGTCCGTTTTCGGTTCTCGAGAGAGCGCCGGGGCCGTTATTTTCCAGGCTTGCGCCCGCCAGGTTTGGGCCCGAGGTCGTTTTCACTAAACTACGTTTTATCAAAGGGAGGTCTGTCCATCCCCGAGATAAGGAGGGGGGGGCAGGTGGGGAGGAAGGATGGGGGAGGGACGGAAAAGGAGGACGAAGCCCGACGCTGGCGGACTGGTGCGTTTAGGACGACGGTGTCCTCCCTGCCTCTCCCCGTTCACCTTCTGGGGAGTGGGGCCTGCCGTGCCCCGCGGCTGGCGAGTGCGTGGGTGGCGGCCCTGCGTTGTGAGGCCGCTGCGAGGCGCTGCGCAAGCGAGGGCGAGCGAGGGTGGAGGTCGAGGCAGGTCGGGAGATTTTTGGGGGGCCGGTCCAGCATGCGGTGGCCGTTGCAGAGGCAGGTAGCGTGCGATGTGGCGCTTCTGGCCCGCTTATTGTTCTCTGCCTCTCACCTTGAGGATCGCGTGCGTCGGAGAAGCCCAGGCAGGGAGACAGCGTGTACAGGAGGACCCCATCGCAGGGGAATCGCCTCAGAAGGATAAGTCGCGTGCGCGGAGGAAGCTTGCTTTGGGGAGGGAGCGTGCTTTTCGGAGATCGGTGTTTTACGTTAGCTTTGAGACGCCAGCAGTAGGCCCTTTCTTTGTCCACATTTTTGTTCCTCCGCCGCAATATTCAATCAGCAAGCGCAGACACCCTGAACCCTCCAGGGCGCGTGGAACAGTTCCTCTGTGGGGATCGCCCGATGCACAACATAATGTCCCATTGATGTTAGGTATACGTTCACGTGTGAGTGTGTGTGTGTGGATGCACGCGTGTGCTCGTACTGGGAGGGCGCTTTCAATTGCCTGTGCCAGTTCGGTTTCATACCTTCACGATTTAAAGATGTTGTTTGCATCTTCAGAAGGAAGGGAGAGAGAGGAAAAAAGGAGAGAGAGAGAGAGAGAGAGAGAAAAAAAAAAACAAGAAAAGAAACAGAGAGATAGGAAGAAAGAGGGAGATATTCGACTTTATGTTCTGAGGGTGTTCTCAAAAGTCAGCCACCCGATGTTTTCCACCTATCAGCGGGGTCGCCAATCGGGCGTTGGGGTTGTCGATGGAACCTTGTAATTTTTTGGGAGGGGGGGCCTGAGGGCGTTCCCAAAGCATCCACGAACCGACGCTTTCGATTCTTTAATTTCTTTAGTTTACCTGAGGGTATTCCCAAACAACTGGCACTCCTATGCGCCAGGTCCTTCACGTTGCCACTGAATGGGGTAGTGGAAGGGGACGAGGAGTAGCATGAGGAGGAGGAAAAGGATGGGGAGCGTGAGGGGGGGAGGAGGAGGAGAAGCAAGAGAAGGAGGGGGTGGGGAGGATGAAAGGAAAAAGGCGAGTGAACGGTTTTTCTGTTTCATTCTCTCTCTCTCTCTCTTCCTCTCTCTCTCTCTTTCTCTTCGTGCTTGTTCATATCTCTATCTCCCTGTCTCTCTGTCTCTCTCTCTCTCTCTCTCTTTCTTTCTCTCTCTCTCTCTTTCTCTCTCTCTCTCTCTCCCTTTTCCGAGTACCAGCTAAGTCTTAACCTCGCGGGGTCCGAAACCGAACAGAGTCCCAATAGCCACACAACCACTCTTCGTATAGTAAAAAGAATGATTTAGGGACGCAGCTCCTGGCAGGTGAAAGTATTTCGTCGCATGGGCAATCCATCTATCGATGGAGCTCTCTGACTTTCTGTTTGTCTCTCTCATTGTCAAGATATTCAACATGCCTGCAGCGGGTCCGGCCACTGTGCCAGCGCGGCAGGAGGCATGGAGCATGCTTGCGCCAATGCTGCTAATCCTGCGAATCCAGTCGTCCCTCTCGCCCTCCTTCGCTAGGGGGCCACGTGCCCCTACGATTTCTGAGGGGGAGGGGGTGGGGGGGGTCACTTCGTTCGGGAGCCCTCGCCCTCGAGAGAAGCGAACCTCCCCCTCCCGCTCAGGAATCGCGGGGGGGGCGGTAGGGGCAGGGCTCGCATGTGGCCCCCTCCTTCGTGGAAGCATGCAGGAGGGGCTCCCTGGGGGCTCCTCCTCTCGGGGCCCTTTCTGGGGGCCCCCGTCTCGGGGCCGTCTCGGGCGTCGGCGGTTCCGCCGAGCTCTCCTGCCAGGGGGCTCGCTGGAGGCATCCTGGGGTGGCGCGCGGGAGGATCCCGGGGCCGTCTTGGAGCCGACGTGGGCCGCCTTGGGAGGTTCGCGGGCTGTCGTGGGACCGTCTGGGGGAGCGAGGATGAGCGAGAGAGCGATGGTGAGATGAAGGAGTGGGTGGGGAGGAGATGGATGATGAGCATGACGATGATGCTTACAATGAGGATGGTCATGGTCATGGTCATGGTCATGGTGACGATGATGGTGATGTTTATGATGATGACGATGTTGACGATGGCGATGGTGCTGATGATGATGATGATGATGATGATGATGATGATGATGATGATGATGATGATGACGATGCTGCTGATGATGATGATGATGATGATGATGATGTTAATACTAATGATGCTGGCGATGATGCTGATCATGATGATGGTGATGATGATGAGAAACATGATGATGATGATGATGATGATGATGATGATGCGGATGCTGATGCTGATGCTGATGCTGATGCTGCTGATGATGGTGATGGTGATGATGATGATGATGTTGATGATGATGATGCTGATGCTGATGCTGATGCTGATGCTGATGCTGATGCTGATGCTGATGATGATGATGATGATGATGATGATGATGGTGATGATGATGATGATGCTGATGATGATGATTATGATGATGATGATGATGATGATGATGATGATGATGATGATGATGCTGATGATGATGATGATGATGATGATGCTGATGATTACGAGAAGGGAGAGGGGGAACTGCGAGAAGGATAAGGAGGAGAGGGAGGAGGAGGAGGAGGAGGAGGAGGAGGAGGAGGAGGACGAGGACGAGGAGGAAGAGGAGGAGGAGGAGGAGGAGAGGAGGAGAAGCCCTCCTCCTTCTGTCTCTCCCCCTCCGTCTTCCAATGTCCTGCTACCCCGTAACCATGCCTCCATGTCTCCTCCCATTACGTCCTTGGCGCACCACGGCACGCTGCTGAAACACGTTATACAACCCTTCCTTTTCCCCCCTCCATTCCTCCTCCCCGTCTCCTTTCCTCCTCCTTTCTTACCTCCCTGCCTCCTTCTCCTCCATTTCTCCTTCTTTCCTCTTCGCTTCCTCATCCCATTCTCCTCGCCGTTCTCCTCCTACTCCTCTCCCCTCATTCCTTTCTCACCCGTTCCTCCTCACTTCTTCCTCTCCTCCTCCTCCTCTTCTTCTTCTTCCTCCCCCTCCTCCTCCTCCTCCTCCTCGTCCTCCTCCTCCTGCTTCTCCTCCTCCTCATCCTCCAGGCCTTTTTCTTAATAACTATGCCCTGTCGCCCCCCGAAGCCAGTCGGAAGGGTGGGCCGGGCGTTTCGCCTGAGACTTCGTTAGCATCTGTGAGCCTGAAGCTAAGAATTTGGCAACAGCTTTACAGCTGGCACTTCTTTCAATGTTGATGAATTTCTGCAGGGGCCTACGAAGATGGATCTCGGAGAGAGGGTGTATTCCAACATCGACATTGGGTTTTGGCCTTGCACTGGTCCTCCTCCTCCTCCTGCTCCTCCTCCGCCTCCTCCTCCTCCTCCGCATCCTCCTCCTCCTCCTCCTCCTCCTCCTCCTCCTTCCCCATTCCTCCTCCTCCTCCTCCTCCTCCTCCTCCTCCTCCTCCTCCTCCTCCCCACCTCGCCCTACCCCATCGCGCGAGGCCATGGACGACATGCTCCTCGACTCGCCAGCGTGCTTCGCGGGGTGCCAGCCGCCAGCGCGAGGGCTCGCCGGGGGAAAGTGCAGGTTGGTTTGCGTGTGTGTGTGTGTGTCACCGTCACCAGCCATCAAACCACCCCAACCCAACCCGAAGGCCCCGATTTACCCTCCATTCCCAGCCCGAAATTTGGGTCTTCGGGTTGGGTTGGGGTGGCCTGGTAGGTAGTCAGTGTGCGTGTCCATGACGACGATGATGACGATTACGATAATCAATCATCGTCGTCGTCATCGTCATCGTCATCATCTCCTCCTGGGGTGCTGGCAAGGCGAGGCCATGCTGCCCCCGGCGCCTCCCCCTCCCCCTGGACTCGCCAGCGTGGCGAGTCCACGCCGCCCCGCTTCGTGCTGCAGGCTGCCGGGTGTTGCGAGCGCGCCGTCGCCTCCCCCCCTCGTCCTTCTCTCTGTCGGCCTGTCGTGTCGTCCCCTCCTCCCTTCTCCGTTCCCCTCTTTTTCTGCCGAAGACGAGAGAACGCCACAAACAGGAACGTTTGGCACTCCGCGCGGATGTATTGGATCTGGTTTGGCCCCCCGCGGCGGCGCCTCCTGCGCCGACCCTGGCGCGTTCCGCGCGCCAGGGAGGGAGGGGGTCCAGCGCAGATGTTAGAGTTCCGCGCGGAGCGCCGAAAGTTTATGTTTATGCAGTTTTTTCGTCGTCTATCCTGGGGTGCTGGCAGGGCGATGCCCACGCCGCCCCGCGTCGTACCCCAGGCGGTCAGAGGTAAGGAGCGCCCTTGGTTCAGTGCGTGCGGGCTGCCTTTTCCAGCCAAGAATCCGTCTCAGCCTACAGCCAGTTGGACCGCTGGCTGGGAGACCGTCTGGCTTTCTTTATGCCCCCCCAACCGCTGGCAGGGCGGTATCCCAGCTCTGCCGCACCGTCAGCCCAGTATCGTTCAACCGACCCCCATCCCCACCCTCATCCCCTTCGAGACCCCCACCGAATTACCACCCTAATCGGGGATACACCCCTCGAAACCCGAAGAGAACGGCCGATATCCCCATCTAGGGGGCTAAAAGTCGGCCAGCGGAGCCCAGGCCACGCCGCTGGGTATGGGGATCTGTGGAACGGTGCTCAACCCACAGCCAGTCATCCCGCTGGCTGCGAGGCCGTCGGGCTCCCTGTAGGCCCTCCCCCCCACTGGCAGGGCGGCCTCCCACTTCTGCCGCACCTCTTCTCTCGGCGGCGAGGGGGGGGGGGGGCGATCCGCTGGACCCTCCTATTACCCCTGTGGCAGGGGGCCCCGCCGGTGCCATTTATACGCTCTTTCCCCCTCTCCTGCCTGCTGCCTCCTCCCCGTCCTTCTCCTCCTGTCCTCGTTCCTCCTCCTCCTCTCCTCCTCCTCTCCTTCTCCTCCTCCTCCTCCTCCTCCTCCTCCTCCTCCTCCTCCTCTCTCCTCCTCCTCCTCCTCCTCCTCCTCCTCTCCTCCCTCCTCCTTCCTCCTCCTCCTCCTCTCCTCCTCCCCCCTCCCCCCCCCCCCCCCTCCCCCTCCCTCTCCCCCCCCCCCCCCCTCCCCCCCCCCCCCCTCCTCCCCCTCCTCTCCTGTCGTCGTCGTCCCCCTCCTCCCCCTGCCGGCCCCCCCCTCCCGAGGCAGGGCTCGGGCGCGTGCTGCCCACTGGGCGGGCCCTCGGCCGCCCTGCGGCCCCTCCTTCCCCCCCCCCCCCCCCCATCTCCTGCCTTTGTGTCGTGCCCACCTCCTCCCTCTCGCCTCCCTGCTCGGCTGGACCCTCCCCCCTTCGTGTCCTGCGCCGCCGCTGTGGTGCGGTGTGCGGTGTCTCCTTCCGGCCCCCCCCTCGGTTTCCCCCCGCCCTCCCCCCCCCCCCTCGGGCGGGTCCGTGTTTCGCTCTTGCACCCCTCCTTGGGGCCTCTTGGGCCATCATGGGGACATTTTCGAGCCGTTGGAGCAACCTTGGGGCTGCCTCGGGCCGTGTTGGGCCGACGCTCCAACTTATGTGACGACGATGATGATGACGACGATAACGCTGACGATGACGATCACGGGCGGCCACCCCCGGCCCGTGTGCCTCGCGTCCGTCCGTCTCCCCCCCCCTCGGCTGTCCGCTGTCGCGCTCCTCGCTTCTCCCTGTTTTTGCTCGGCCCTCCTTTCTCGTCTCTCGGTCGCAAGTCCTGGGAGCCTGGTGGACCCACTGAATCCCGCCGCCCGCGTCGACCAGCGTCGATTAGCGTCTCGGAGTCGACGAGACGGCGCCGTTTAGCGTCGATGAGCGCCGTTTTGGCGTCGATTAGCGTCGACCAGCGTCGATTCGCGCTTACTCATAGGAGCCGACAGGGTGGCATGGGGGAGGCTCCCACGAGCTGCCACAGAACCTTCTCTTGCGGCCCCTGGTCGTCCTGCTCCCGGCCAGCTCTGGCGTGGCTCCCCTGCGAGTTCCTCGGCCGCCGCAGCTCCGCTCCGGGCGGGGCGCGGCTGCCGCTCGACCGCCCCCTCGAGGGGGGCCGGCTGCCCGCCCGCGCTCCCCGGGTGCGCCGCCTCGGCGCCTCCGCCGGCCCGGCCTGATCGCGCGCGTTGGCTACCGCTGCTGACGGCACCAAATGTTCAAAAGATATCCGTTGCACAAGGTTTGCTCGACTGTACGAGCTCGGAGCGTGGTTCACGCCCACCGCGGTCTTGCGTCAGCTTCCGCGGCCTGACATCTCGAGAGCCATGCCGCCCTCCTGTGCGACGCCGGCATCCTCAAGCCTACTCCTCCGCCAACCCCCTCCCCGCCCGCCCGATTCCGAGCAGTCCCTCCCCATCGTCGTCCTCGAACCTACAGAGGAGACCCATGCCAAGAAACACCGTGCTTGCCTCCAGGGTGCCCTCGGTTTCTTGGATTTCGATGGTTTTGCGGTAGAAAGCGTAACGTCCCCGCACCAAAGTCAATGGACGTCCTGGGGTCTCAGGGTTGGGCTTCTTATGTAAGGTCTTTTGTGGACGGGCCTACAGTGAGCGGCTTGAGCAAGGAACACTTATTTTTCAAATGGGGCTCGGTCGTTCCTTAGGTTTTACATGCGTTATGTACAGTTCCTGATGCGCTATGTGTTACGTATCGTTCCTTATGCGTTATATTCCTTGGGATAAACAAGGGGCTTCGTTCCTTATTGATCGTTCCTTAGGTCAGGCCGATGACTGTACGCTGTGCTCCTCCGCCAATCCCCTCCCAGCCCGCCCGATGCCGAGCAGCCCCGTCCCCATGGTCGTCGCCCTCAAACCTATACCGGCCGCCGCGCCTCGCCCGCCCTTGGCACCGTGCGCCCCTCCAGATCGCCCCCCCCCCTCCCACCCCCCGAGGGGGGAGGAGAAGGAGGAGGAGGAGGAGGAGGAGGAGGAGGAGGAAGAGGCGGAGGAGGAGAGAGGAGGAGGAGGAGGAGGAGGAGGAGGAGGGGAGGAGGAGGAGGAGGAGGAGGAGGAGGAGGAGCCCCCCCACGCCCGCTCGATTCCGAGCAGCCCCTCCTCGTCGCCATCCTCAAATCTGCTCCCCGCCACGTCTCGCCCGCCGCGTGCCAAGCGGCCCGACGCCCGCCCCCCCCCCCCCCCCCTCCTGCGCACAATTCGCTCGCCGCCATTTTGACTCTGCCGGGCCCCCTGGGAGCTCCAGGTGTCACCAACAAGCGGTGGCGAAGCGTCCTGGCCCGCCTATACAGGCCAACCCCAGAGAATGTTCTGGCTGAGGAAGCTTGGTGTTAACACATCGGGCTTATGTCCTAAGAGCATGGCTTTTATTCTGAGAACACCTTCGGGTTCTCAGAATATGTCGTGGTAGGCCTGTAGGAATGCCGGACGGCCGGTCCCTGCTCAAGACCAGGGGGAACCCCGGAGGCGCTCGGAGTCGCTCGGAAAAGTTCTGGCGGCGCCCACGGACGCGCGCAGTGCTCTGAGGGCCCAGTTGCTCAGGGTGGCCTGGGGGGGGGCCCGGGGGTGAGGCCTGCCAAGAATTATTTCATCGCTTCGCTCCGTCCTCCTGCCCATTTCGCATCGCTGTGGCTGCATGGTGGCGTGCTCGTGCCCAGGGGGAACGGTAGGGCGGGCAGGACAGTCTTCGAGAAGATCGTTGGAGATGTGGCTCGCACCCTGTCGAAGAGAGCCCATAGACTGCCCCAGAGGGCGCCAAGGTGGCTCAAGAGAGCTCCAGCAGAGTTTCGAGTTTCGAGACGCACATGGGTTGTGGGTCAAAGTCCTCATGGATGCTTCTGGGGGTCTTTTCAGAGGGAGCCTCTGGGGAGCAGTTTTGAGGCCCCTGGGGAGCCTAGATCTATAGGGGGCTTCTTGGGGAGCTCTTGGGGCTTCCTGGGGGCCTCTTGGGAGTCTTGGGAGCTTATTTGGGAGCCTATGGGGGGCCTTGTGGCCTCTTGGGGAGCCTCTGGGGGCCTCCTGGGCGCCTCTGGGGGCCGACAGCTCGAACCCTCCTGGAGCGCCCTGGCACCGACGTGGGCCATCTTGGAATGCTCTTGGCCTGCGGCCGTGGGGCATGCCACCTAGCTGGCGCCTCACTGGGGCGCTCGGGAGGCCCCCGAGGCCGCGCCCGGGAGTATACCCTGACCTTCCAGCCAGCTATTGTTTAGCACGGGCGGCCCAACAACCTAAGCAACGAAACGAAGCGTCCTTACAAACCAAGACGTATAGACTAGCTTTGGGACAGGTTTTCAAGTCCGGCGCTATTCTTAAAGCCCTCCTGGAAGGTCAGGGTACCGGCATCTCTGGCCCGGCCTCGCCGGGACCTTGCCGGGACCTTGCAGGGACTTCGCCGGGGCCTTGCCGGGGAGACTTGCCGGGGCCTTGCCGGGGTACTTGTCGTCCGGGGACCACCGGTGGCCGCCAACCGCGCGCGCGAACAGTGCTTAAATTCTTACCGGAGGTTTTAGCACGGGGCCGCGGGTCGCGGGCGAGTCGCGGGTGGGTAGCCCAGCGAGTCGCGGGTTGCGGATGGGTCGCGGGCGGGTCGCGCGTGGGTCGATCGGTGGGTCGATCGGTGGGTCGCGCGAGGGTAGC